AAGAAACTCAGGAGGTGGAAATATATGCCGTCCGCCCATAAAACGTGGAAAACTTGAATAGATCTTTTGGCAATGAAGAGGAGTAAACATGCTGGTCACGTTGCCTCCATTCCATCGAATTATGTAAAACTCGATTCTTACTTCATTGGAATAATTTTATTTTTCGTCCAACAACTCACGTGAATCACGCAATCTAATGTTGTAGCTCTTAAGTTTCACAATCAAGTCCTATAACTTTAGTTCACCATTCAATGTAATCCTCCGGTTACCAAAAATCGAAAATTCCTATTAAAATTCATGATGTCTTGTTCTTCCTTGGATTTCATGGCTTGCTTTATCCAACTTATTTGTCCTACCAAAATCAGATAGTTATGTACTTACGTTTTCCTTATTAACATGGCATGTCATTTTTCAAAAAATATTATATAAATAATCCAATCATTAATTTGATAGAAATATCTGATCTCCACTATCCAAACGACTACTTGATATTGAAACATGATTTTTGCCGATGAATCCATCATGCATTATCACATAAAATAATTTCATCAAACAAATTCGATGATAACCGCGGAGCTTGACCCTTGATAAAAACCAGTTAGTTTATATGACACTGCATTCATTTTTCTCGCTGCCACGCTTCTGCACGTATAAACTAAAGGCGTGATAATTTGTTAATAATTAGGTTTCAATTCATGTTGGTCATCCGTTTGTCCCATGAAGATTAGGGATCTCCCACACTCTTCAACTAGGTAGAATGTAGTATGAGAACCTCAGGCTCGATGGCTAAAATTTTGATTGACGGCGACTTCAAAGAGCCTCAATAGCATTGGTTCACACTCGGACACAATTTTCTTCTCGGTAATTTTGACCTGGCTTCTCCAGATCGATTTAAGACCCGAACAAGCTCAAAAGATTGCAAGCTAAGTATCACGATGAGTGTCTTTGAGTCTATTTTCATATGATATATGGTTCGTGCGCTAGTTCCAAGTATAGTTTCTTGAATTCGCATTTTTACGAAGGAATGTCAGCTGATCCTACAGTAGGCTACGGTGGCCTGTTGACTACGGTGGATTTCCAATAATCGTTTGGTCTGAAAATTTTACACAGGCTACGGTGGCCTGTTGACTAACTACCCTTAACAATTGACCCCAATCGGACGAACGACGAGCACGTATTTGCAATTTCCGCACGATTGCGCGGTCAGCTCGTGTCTAATCCGAGAAGCTCACTTTTTCCTTTTTTTTTAATTTGGTTGCCACCCTCTAATTGCTCATCATTAAGCCCCTAAGCCAGCCACCATCTAATCCCAATTGGACTAAAACCAAACAAGAATTGAACTAGAGAATCGAAGAACCAAACTAGCTTCCAAACCAGCACAATCCTTGGTGATGTCCAATTGGAATGCCGTGAATACTGCCGGAGCTAACAATAAAAAGGACAAAATCTTTACAATTATATTCAGAGAAAATAAAATGAGGAATAATAAATGATATGAGAGATTCACATGATTCTATCAGAATATCGAAATCTACATTTACGGGATGAATCAGCCGTTAATAATCTATTAATAAATTAGAGAATACACGATTACAATCGCTCACACACTAGAGTGTTTCTCAGTCTTAGAATTGCACACAATGAAGAACTACCGCCTCTCTCTATGCTTTTCTAGATTTATCTAGGACTAGATATCTACGGTAGGCAGTTGATGCTTGTGTTGAAGTTCCCCTAGTGTTAGTTGAGATGTGTGGTTGAAAATCATTTGAGAGTAGTTAAAGCTTGTAATTATAGAATAGTCCACGAAGAGGTCGCGTGGAGCACTCCTTTTGTGTTATGGCAATGGAAGAGAGCCCATATATAGGTAAGAGTGCTCAGTCTTGTTGTACACTTGTGACCAACAATCACTTTAGTAATACACTTAAACACAGTTTCTTTTCCTTGCCTTTGTTGCTCCTTCGCTTGATCACCTGCCAAAATCTTGTCCCACACACACATACACGTTATAAATGTACACTTCCGCAAACCAACAATTGGTATCAGAGCAGGCACTCGGGGACTGTGAACCCAATAATTCAGAATGTGGTATGCGAAGACTGTAGTCAGGGACCATTGTATGTGAGCAGGTGGACAGAGATCGGACATAAATAACTTGGTCTTATTCTCCTTTGCTTCTGGGCCTCGGAAACTGTCAGATAAAACCAATCTGCTAAATAAATATCTCTGTCAATTCAACACCAGCATCTTCATCGCCCTTGTCAGCATGTTAGATGAGTAAAACACTTGGAGCACGAAAGGTCTTTAGACAAACCAATCGCGGACCTCGGGCCCAACCTCGGTGGGTCCCATATGCATTATTGGCTCAGGCTTCATCCTCTATCATGTGTGGCCGATGAGAAATCCTATCTTCAACACGAACTTGCTATACGTGTCCCAAGAAGTCTCTGGCCTTTGAACAACTGGACTAATATCTTCCAATCCACAGAGAGGTAGAGAGAGAACAAAAATGGCGGAAGCTGTCGTCGGGAGTGTCGCGATCTAAATTTCTTAGGCAAATAGATTATTAAGACTAAGCCTAACTTGGGCTCTCCCAAACCCTACCAATTCGCGACTTAGGATTTAAGTTTTTAACATACAAAAGTTTTCATGCTTGGAGTCGCCACTAATCTATTTGTGATAGGTCGATTAGAAACCTAAATAAAACATAGGGAAATATGTTTTATTCCTACGAACCTAAATTCTAAGTTCTGACTTGTCACTAGGATCTAATCTAACGCCTCTTTCTAGTACCTTTTCTTTTCAAAAATGTTTATGCAGCAGCATTCCTGATCAATTTTATTACCTAATTATTAACATGTGAGGTGTTCATGCAGGTGCGCAAGCCATCAATTTAACACCCAAGAAAGCAATAAATAGATTGCAAGACTAGGAGAATGACCTACCTTAATGCAACGCAAGCATATGCATTGTTAGTAAAAAATCACACAGACAATCATAATATGATTTCTAATTAACAAAACAAGGCACTCGAGGTGTTCTTTAAGGTTTGCGCTTTATTAAAATGAAAACTAACTTAGAGAGTGGTCCACCCCATGGATCCTGAGATGACTGTACTGGGTCTTGAGATGACTGTGCTGGATCTCCTATGTAATGACGTGCAAAAAATGACATGCGATTAATGCGACCCAGCATGCGAACTATATGACATGCGACAATATGACCTATTTCTAATGACGGGCAAATGATTTGTTTTTGGTATTTTTCCAATGAAATTCGGAATTAAAAAATAACCTAAACAATCTATTAGGATTAGAATAACACCTAATTTAAACTAGGAAATAAATTATCTTAAGTCCCAATTTAAATTAAATAATTATCCTATCTTCTAGATACATTTAGGATTTCCTAAACATGCAAAACTCCTAATCTAAATCCTAACAAACATTTTTTTTATTTTCTTTAAAAAAAACAATCAAACAAATATAACAACCGCATTCAACAATCCACGCAATCCGCAACATTCTTCTTATCAAATTTGAATTAGGAAAAGAAATCAAATTAACAAATATATCTATAGGGTTATAGATATTGACGGAAAACTCGATTATTCGAATTTGGAAAGCGAATAAAATCTATTATCGTATCCAAGTGATTATGGATAAGATAACGATTTTCCGTATCGCCGCGATCGCACTTATGGATAATGTCGGATAGTCGTCCGATACGCTTGCCAAATTAGAAAAAATTCCTAATTTAGGGTATCTTAGAATATTGCGGATATTGCAAATATTATCCTAAGGTATCTAATCAATCACGCAATAATCACAGAATATTCAAAATATTCAAACTAAGAATTTAAATATTTTGAAAATATACCGGATAGAGATTTTTACCTGATTTGCGGATTACTTTCCAAATTTGAATCACCGGCGGATCGGGATCGCGGAATGGCCAATGGCGGGTGACCGACAACGGTGGACCGGCGGCAATGGACGGCGGCGAGGCAAGGGTACGGCGACGGACGGCACGGGATCGGCGGTGACCAGGCTTGGCGTCGAGCTTGCGGTGGGTCGCGATTGGCTCATCGGCGTCGAGGTGAGGTAACAAAGCAACAACTCACTGGTCAACACCTTGGGATTCTCTATTCGCTGATGAAACTCTCTGTCTTACTTTGGTCATGCAACCCACCACCTTGGCTCACGGTTTTCACTTGCACCTCTCTTGGTTGGATGCCTATTTCTTTGACCACCGAATGACTCTAAGTTGGGTTGGACTTCGGCGATCAATGCCGATCGTCGCGGGAACTCGTCGGGAAACAGCAAGCGCGTCGGAGGAAAATCGCTAGCGTCGATGGGATCGACTCGTCTCCAAGAATAGAATGCCTCATCGTTGAGGCTCGGATCAAATTGAACTTCGTCGAAGGAGCTCCAACTGGACGTGCTGCTCTTCACCACGTGGGAAGCAGTAACAGCAACACAGGCACAGTGGAAATCGTGGAGCTTGATGGCTGTGTATTCAATGTTGTGTGTCCTCGCGCTCTCAGAAGTTGCGTTCTAGAAAACTATGAGAGTTCCCCTTCATTGAAGGTATAATCACATATTTATATTGCAACCCTAGGTTAATTGACCGGGCTTCCTAATCCTAATGGGCTTAGACTTAGACTTTATCATTTAATTTAATTTTAATTCCAAATGGGCTAAATTAATTTGGGCTAATTTAAGCTCAAATTAAGATAACCAAAGCCTTTTAAACTTGTGAATTTCGGCCCCCAATCCCTTGAGTGAGCCGAGTTTCACTCGACGCTCGAGCTCGGTTTATGCGATGGATTTTCAGCTTACTCGCCACTGCCGGTCCGATGTGAAATTCAATTAAACTATATGATCATAAACTATATGCTATGCGATTTTGATATTTTTGTTTAGGGGTTAAAATTTAATCCCCAATTTTCTATGCAATTAATCACTAAATGGTGCGCCAAAATTTAGGTGTCAACAGGGAGCATTGCTGAAGAGATCATTGCTAAGCTCGTTCCTCCGGCACTAGAAAAGGTTAGAAAGTTATAGGGAATCAAGCAGGAACTTGTGAAGCTCAAAGACACCGTCTCCACACTTCGGGCTGTGCTGGACGATGCAGAAGAGCAATACTGCCAGAATTGCCAAGTTCGAGTTTGGCTTGAGAAACTTAAAGACGCTTTCTATGACGCGCAGGACGTGCTTGAAGAACTCAATATAGAAGCTATGCAACGAGAATTAAGGGGCCACAATGAAATGATCAAGGAGGTAAGGACATTTTTCTCAAGTTCAAACCAGCTTGCTTTTTAAATTGAAGATGAGTAACAAAGTAAGAGCAGTGAGGGAGAGAATAGAAGCCATTAAGGCTGATCGGGGATTCCACTTGGATGAGCACCCTGAGAGAGAGTGGAGGAAGAGACCAGAGACGCATTCATTTATACGCGAGGGAGATATTAAAGGAAGAGAAGACGATAAGAAGAAGGTTATGGAATTTTTACTAGACACAGACGTGAAAGAGCACGTTTTCATCCTTCCAATTGTTGGTATTGGCGGGCTTGGAAAAACGGCTCTCGCTCAATGTGTATATAATGATGAGACGATCAGTAAACATTTTGACTTGCAAATGTGGGTTTGTGTCTCTCATGACTTTGACGTTAAAAAAATAGTGAAAAATATGATTGAATGTAGAAAGAAGAAGAAACCGAACGGGGTTGTGATGGAACGGTCGCAAAGTGAATTGATGACAAAAATTGAGGATGTGATGGAAAGGTTGCAAAGTGAACTGAGGGGAAAAATTGATGGAAAGAGATATCTCTTAGTTTTAGATGATTTGTGGAGTGTAGAACGAGAAACATGGCTAAGCTTGAAAACTTTATTGGTGGGAGGTGCTAGAGGAAGCAAGATATTAATAACTACTCACCTTACTTTGGTTGCAGAAATCACCGGCACTGCTCAACCTCATTTTCTCGGCGGCTTATCTGAAAGTGCATCTCTTGATTTATTAATGCAAATGGCTTGTCGAAAAGAAGAGGAGATGCAAGATCCTGAAATGCTAGCTATCGGCAAAGAGATAGTTAGAAAGTGCTCTAGGGTTCCATTGATTATTTGAACTCTTGGGAGTTTACTATTCTTTAAGAAAACTAAACCAGAGTGGTTACACTTCAAAGATGATGAGCTCCCAGAAGTGTCTCAAAGGGAAGACCACGTAGTATATGTTCTTAAGCTAAGTTATAACCATCTTCCTTCACATTTGAAACAATGTTTCGCATTGTGTTCATTGTTTCCTAAAGATTATGAGATAAAGAAGCATACTTTGGTCAATCTTTGGGTGGCAGAAGGATTTATCCGGCCATCAAATAGAAGTCAGAATTTAGAAGACATTGCTCATGGATATTTCATGGATCTACTTTTGAGTAATTTCTTCCAAGATTTTCAAAAGGATCCAATCACGAAGGAGGAGACTTGCAAGATGCATGATTTAATGCATGATCTAGCCTGCTTAGTTGCAGGGGCGAGTGTTGGGTGGCACAAGATGACACAAAATCCATATTTGAAAGAACTCGTCATATATGTCATGGTTTACCTTTCAGTCTAATGGGTGAACTTCCAATGTCATGGTTGAAAGCAAGTGCACCGAGAACATTTTTTTCTACTATGCCAGAACCTACATATCAGGAAATGGAACAAAGAGAATCAACAAGTGAAGCATATCTACGTCAACTCATTCAAAGTTTCAAGAGGTTGCGCATCTTGGATATGCATGCCACAAATGTAAGGAAGGTGCCAAGGTCCATTTGTAAGTTGAAACATCTAACGTATCTCGACCTCTCTCATAATAGTGCACTCAAAAGGCTTCCTAACTCCATTAAGAGATTGCAGAATTTGCAAACACTTAATCTCTCCCATTGTATTGCCCTTGAAGAATTGCCAAGTGAGATAAGGAAGTTAGTCAACCTCTGGAATCTAGACATAGATGGTTGTTGGGAACTTAGTTAAGTGCCGCATGGACTTGGGCAATTGAGTTCTCTACATAAGCTGACGCACTTCATTTTGCCCAAAGATAAAGCTCGTGCTAAGAATTATTGCAGACTTAGGGAGCTAAATGGGCTTAATGAAATTCAGGGAAGCCTCAGAATTGAAAATTTAGGATGCATAACAAACGCAGTATTAGAATCCAAGGCTGCAAACTTGATAGGGAAGCATTCTCTAGAATCTTTGGAACTTCACTGGGGCTATCACGAATCTGATGATGCAGTAATCAGGGATCGAGATGAAGCTCTATTAGATGGACTGAGGCCACACTCAAATCTACGGAATTTGATGATCGATGGCTATAGAGGTGAGAGCTTTCCAAGGTGGATGATGGAAACCTTTGTGTTTTTCTTGCCAAATTTAGTTGAGGTAAGCTTGCAACTTTGCCAAAGATGTAAGCATCTCCCTCAGCTGGGCCAACTCCCTCACCTCGAGTCTTTATGGATATGGTTTCTGACTGAATTGGAATATATTGAGTTAGACCATTCATCCACTTTAACAACATCATTTCCTAGGCTATTAAGCTTACGAATCGGTTACTGTGAAAACTTGAAAGCAATGCCTCTAATTCCACACCTTGAGGAGCTGATGCTGAGTAAGGTCAATCCAGAGTTGATAAATCACATATTTGGCCTTAACAAGTTGAAGCGGCTGATTATATTGGAGATGGAGCTTTTAGAATGTTTGCCCGAGTGTTTGGAAAGTCCCACTTCACTTGAATCTCTTATCATCTGGAAGTGTCCTCGGTTAACTTCCCTCTCACTCAGTATGAGAAATCTATCGAACCTTCAGCATCTCAATTTTAGGAATTGTGAGGAGCTCGATTTATCCAAAGACGAAAGCGGCAACATCTTGGATTTACAAGGACTTAAGAGTCTCCGGTCCGTGGACATTGTTGATGTTCCCAAACTAGCATCTCTTCCACCGTGGCTTCTACAAGCCAACAGTCTTGAGCAACTTTCAATTAAAAAATGCTTAAATTTGAAGGCTTTATCAGAGCAGATCGAGGCCCTTCAATCACTTCAATCGCTTGAGATCGTCTGGTGCCCCTCGTTGAGATCATTACCCGAAGGAATGTGAAGGCTGGCTTCCCTTTACTCACCTAAAAATCGTAGGTTGCCCAGATTTGGAGGAAAGGTGCAAAAAAGATGCAGGCGAGGACTGGTACAAGATCGCTCATATCCTGAAGATAACTCATCAGCTCGAATATTACGAGCAACTCGAAGATTTTGACTAGAAACTTTGCACTTTTCTGTCTGTAGGTATGTGCACCTCTTTTTCCCAGAATTTATACTTTCCATGTGTGTTTCCGTAATCGATTCGATTGAGGGATGTAAACAGATCTAAACGGTTTGGACACATCCTTGGGTGTACCAAGGATGCAGATATTTAGAGGGTGTGGGAAGTTTTACGTCGAATCAAATTTTCAATTGCGTAATGAAACTGAAGAATCATCCTATCATGGATTCGAGGAAAGGATTGCTTGTTTGGTGCCTGCTTGAATTTGGCATAATCTCGATGATTGCATTTGTTTTCACGTTGCCTTGGCTTTTCTTCTGATTCTCTGTTTCCCTCCTTTCCACACTAACATAATTCATCAGTGAATTATTACCATGTCAAGATATTCACTAGATTTACTTACGTGAAGCTCGCATGAAATTATAACAATCGCTGGAAAGGAAGCAAGTGGTTGCCCTACAGATCGCAACAAGAGAACTTGTATCCGTTCTTAATCTATAACACGAACTTATACATAGCATCTATCAAATGAGACTCTAATTTATTTGACTAAGTTTTGTGTATTTTACTATAGTAATTACTAAAAAAGTGATAACCGGGGATAGACAAATCCAGCCCAAAAGCAAGAATTCTTGCCCCAATTGGGCATAAGCGACGGCACAAGGTGCTAAAAGTGTGAATGAATTTGGGGCTAGCTTTGATCAATCTACAATTGGTCTTCCATTATGATTGCTCTATAGTGGGCTAGGTACATATTTCGTCCCATTCCAAATGTTGCCTAACAGATCGAAATTTCATGTATTAGGAATAATTGTTTCAATTGGGATCAAGTCATCAAACACGGATTTTCAAATTAAATCCATGTTATGCAAAAATTATTAGAATATTATATCTACAAACAATAAGTAAATATGCTTAATGTGCCCAAATAAATATACTTATCTATGTTGATCTTTTGACTGCGTTGCGTTACCTAAAAAAGAAGAATGAGATACGAAAAGCATTTCTTGAAACATAGATTGCCTACGGACAAAAAGACTTCTAGTCATTGGAGGCCGAAAGCCCCTAAAAGATTGCGCAAGCTGCATTTCTAAGTTATTCTTAAGGAAGTCCTGTTCTTTTGGCCTGTCGCTTCTAGTTTTAGCTATACATCGTCTAGTGGTTGGAGGCCACAACTTTACCACTTTTCCATCAAAACCATTAACTTCAGTTCACTCCACATAATACGGTCACGTCAAAACGTAGTTTAGGTCGTGATGTACCTTTTTTTTATAATCCGGGGGTACAAGTATAGAACCCGGCGACTTTGAGACTCGTGAAATACTCTGAAAATCTAGATTTTTTTATCTGTGCAGATGGCCCTGATTCGGAATAGTTACATGCAATTAGCGGGATTTGAATTGGTGGCAGTTCCTGAGCTGATAATTCCCTGATACTCCAATCAATTTGGCCATTTTTGCCATGCCTTTTCCTCACATGATTTCACACAATGCTCTACCACTGATAGATGTGGCATGCCCAAGTTCGAGCGATGAAGACAATTCCTTTTGCTTGCATCCCATTAGATTAAGAAATTGGAGTGATCAAATCAAATTACACAAAAGAAAGTGACATATGTCCATCTTGCACAAGTATACCTAGGTACCTCGACCATCCTTGGTGGTTGTCTCCCGTACTTTGGTTATTGTAGAATTATACTTCATGCTGCTCCCCCCATTATTGATCCGCATGGTGACTACATATATTCGTACTCCTCTAATGTTCAATTGTTCCCACACTTAATTTAACCTTTGGGTGTTTATTTTTTAACCGCTCGGCTCGTATAAAATGATATCCGATGTGATAATTATCCAATTATTTACGTGCCCTTTTGCGCGATTTGCTGCAGCGAACTTTCGTAAGATGAGCCGAGTCATGTCCTAGCTCAATCAATAAGTCAGCTTATTCAATGCGATACACCTGTATCTTTTGTTGTACGACTTCATTCTAATAATATCATTAAAAAAAATGATGTGTTATCAAACAAGGGATTTAGAGGATAAGATTGTCAAAAAAAAAATTTCCATGAATAACATGAATTAGGAGTATAAACTCGCGTACTTAACTGAAAAGTCAAATTTATGCCACGAGAACAATCGAGATTTTGTGTCTCAAAAAGCATGAAGTCTCAAGTTTGATTCCTAATCAGAACAGCTATTTGGGGTCGTATCGTGAAAGAGCAATTCTTCCAGAATTCCCTAGTCCCGACATCAATAATTTGTTGTAGACTAAATCGAAAAGGTAGATGTAATCTTTGTGCGGAAAAATTACCAAGATCCGGGTAAAAGGAAATAGATCAGATCCCTAACGGAAGAAAACGGTTCAAACGACAACAAAAGTCCCTCTGCTCGACGCAACGCCTTGTCGTTTTAACTGTTCTTCGATCAAACTAGAATGCTCATCGTCCGCTCCATATGTGATTCATTTTCACCGGATCATCCCTCGACGTCTTCAACTTCTTTCGCCTTCTCTCCCAATCCAGAGAAAGCCGATCGCAGCGTAGAAGAAGAAGAAGACTCCACGAGCATGCCCACCGGTTGCGGCATCAGAGCTCTCTGGATCGTCAACGCCCACGACGCCGTCGTCTTCTCCAGGTCCCTCTCTCGTCGGTTCTTTACGCGTTTGCATTCGGACTCCCGGTGGGTTTGCCAGTTTTTTCGATGCCGATGCTGGTTAGCGACTTGGGTCGGTTTGATTTTGTGCGCGCGTTACGATGCCGGTGATTTTTCGATTGGATAATGCTGTGTGCAGCGAGACTGGTTTGCGAATTTGGTTTGCAAAGTGATTGATGGGGCAGCGACCTCCTGTTGGCCGCTTGCTGTGACCCACTTGGTTAAATTATTGGTTAAAGTGTGTAGTGATTGCTTGCTGTGTGAATGTGAAAGTTGGGTTAGTGTGGTTAGCGTTGTGGCTTGCTGGGTAGCTCTTAATATTGTACTTAGAGAAGGGCTTGGATTTCTTGCGAAGGCCCCCGAGTAGTGTTAACCTCTGTGCTTTGTAGAATGGATTGAGTAAGGGGACCGCAACAATGACAAAACCATCTCCCCTGCAAATGGCTCGAACTTTAGAGTGTTTGGTTTACTGTTGTGGATTGTTTGCTGATGGGAGTTTTTTATGTTTCTTCTTTTGACTGGATGTGATAACAGGAGATTTCCAGTGGTGGAGAAACAGTGGCGGGCGGCTTGCAGAAGTGAGAACGAGCGCAATGGCGGCAGTGTTGACAGCGCAGCGTTGCCGTATTTGCCGTCTGATTCGGACTTGGCTTCTTCATTTGCAGAGAGAAAGAAGAGGTTTGTCAAGATGTTACTACAATGAGTTGAGAGCTCCTTGGTATTTCACTTGATGAGTTTACTTGGATGTTTGCTTATATTTCTACACAAACCGAAGACTTTCTATCATTTTCCTATGTTAAAACTGCATTTGCATGTTGTTTGCTGATGTATGTCTGATGTAGCTAGCCTCCAGGAACAATCATTTGCACATTATATCTCTGTCTTGTCTCCAAGAATTGATGCTTGGCGTTTGTTCCCTTAAGTTGCTATAATAGTGGCTCATAATTTGCCTAGTTAAGGAATGTGAATGTTTAGTGGATGCTAGAGTCACTCTTGTTCAAATGCCGTGGGTTTCATTATTGACTATATGAGGAAGTGGTTGCATTCTTGAGAAAAAATGCTTTGTGAGAATGGACAAAATAAGTGAGCTTTAGTTGTATAAAGTTTAGAGTTGATTTGGTTGTGATCTGTTAATAGTATGTGCATCACTCCGTAAAATTATGCACTGGTATTACATACCCAGTCTAAATAATGATAACTAGATTAGATGGTTATTAGTCTTGCATAGTTATTGAGAACACATATTTATCTGTTTTTACTCTCATGTAACTTAAATAATTTTCTATTAATTTGACATCTTCCATCTATATCTAGAGAAGGATCTGTTCGTGGATTTGGCATACGCGTGTCTCAGTCTGCTGAAGGCTCAGATTCTTGGGTAGATGATCCAGTTACGCGTCATGTCATTAGCATTTACATTAACAAAGAAGAGGCAAGAGAGAATTATCTGTTGTGGCCTTTGATTCTGCATATGAAGAGCCAGTTCTGCATCCTTGTACTGCCTTTGGTTGAGCTTGGACATTTAAATTCATATAAGGAACTATGTAAAAGATCTGATTGTGGCAATGCTGTTGGAGGAGTGGATGGAAGTTTATCTTTGCTCCTGCTTGATCTTCCATCAGTCACAGGGTATGGTAAGTTACTCATCTTATTAGTTAGGAGACATTAGAAATCTCTCTCTCTGTGTTCTATGGCATCAAATCATCAGTATACTCTGTACTCTCTTGTTGTGCACTAGATAGTCATTAACTTATTCTTCTTGTTAATAGTTCTGTCTAGCCTAACTAGATTGTTGTATAAGTTAAAGGAAACAATTGAAGAATGCTTTCTCATGGTTAAAATGTTGAATGCGACTTGAAGACTGGTTTTGATCTATGGGAGTGTTTTTCTCATATCATGTTCCATTTTGGATATGCCAAGTATTATTACCTTCCTTAACCAAAAGGCAAAATTTTCTATCACGTTGAAAATTCAGCGTGATGTCCTATCCATTTGTTCTTTGTGAGATTATCTTTTCCAGTCCAGAGAGATATAATTTAGACTAACAGGGATAGTTGTGCATTAGGCTTGTAGCTATGGAGTAATAGTCTCCAGATTGTGCTGGCTTGTAATTTATTTCATCTAGAATCATTTACTTGCCTTTTCTTTTGGTCTGGCTACCCTTGAATTAATGAATCCTATTTGAAACGT